AGTCCGATGTTTTCAGTTCGCCATTTTTGAACTTCGATTGACCATAAATCATTTCCTTCACGGTCAAATAGATTTCATGGGTAGAAAAGGACGCGCCACAAACCCTTTATTGTATTTTCCTCATTTTAGACCGTGGACAAACCCGTTCAAGTTTACTAATTTTTCCTCGAACAACCTNAACATTGGGCAAAATTTTGTGTGTGCCAATCAGCCAGATGGTTTGCACGCAAAACAAAACAGAAATAAAGGCAGTGAAGTAGCAAACCATAAAATGTTAAGTCTTTAGTTTCGTCAACGCCCAACTGCTTAAGGTTACAGTGTGAGCCTGCAATAAGCAGGACATCGGAACGTGCTAAAAAGCACTGAAACCCGTCACAGTAAGCCAGAGGGGAGTTGCGACTTTTAAGTGTATACAGACAGGCACTACTAAAACAGCTGTTGATAGAATAAACAGAGAACGTTTATTTTGTTGCACTTTACCCAAAAGCAAGTGATCCATAAGCAGGATCACTGACTGAGGTTTAAATCTCTTCTTATCATGTCCAAAAAGAGCAAAATTGCGGGTGATAAATTTCAATGACGACTAAGTAAAAAGTACCAGAATATAATGATAATACCCGGAGTGATTGTTCGCAGAGAAGTGTGGTAGACTTTTACAAACTGGCGGGCAAGATGTACATTAAACGATGGCTTATCCACATCTTATAACACGCCTACTTGCCTTAATTGTTGTTCAGTCGTAACGGGCCAAACGATCTGCTTATTCGAGTGAGGGTCACTTGTACACCTGTACTAAATATTCTGGGGACAATTTTATGAAATTTTCAAAGGTCCTTAGTGCTGCATCCATAATTTTCACATCACTCAACAAAAGCAGCCTTTTCAGAAAATGAAGCTAAGTGGTTGGCTTACCGCCAGATATGCGCATAATAGAACCTTCGTGAACACTAAACGCAAGGCCGAGTCTCGGCACCATGGCAGGGTCAGAGTGAACGTCTACGTTGGGCAGCCCATTGTGCAGTCATGTTTATGCTGGCACCGCGCATCGCTCCATGCTAAAGGCCACAAGCTCACTTTCCTTTAGGACACGACATATAACAGAGACAGAGACCACTAGGAGTTGGCGCGTAAGCAAGTTTCGTTTGGCGTACTGCTGTAAGCCCACTTGGAACTTGGGGTAAGTAAATTGTTTGAGCCAATAATGACCATAGCTTGATGGAGGAAAATCCGTTGGGATTTCGGGTGGCGGTGTAGAAGACAACATACTAACATTGTGCTCCCGTTTCCAACCGCATGTGACGGCCAATCCCCATAATTATTTGCCTTGACCAGATGAACTGAAACCTTCTTCCTTTACTGAACTATAACGCTTACGGACTTTGGTCGGACATTGTGATTTTCGCGGTTGCTCGCCGTCGATATCGGTTTGGTTGAGACGATGTTGATTTTGAGGCGCAGTGATCTGCGCTCTATCCTCAGGCTGGTGATTGTACCGTCTTATTTTGGAGCCCTACGGTATCTGCAGAAGAAAATCCGTTGAGTGCCGTGATTCCTAAATTCGGATTTCTCGGTCGTTTTCGTGGATTGGCACGTGTGACTGAAACTCAAAAAGCAGATAGCCGTAACATGTATTTCTGCTGCAGTTCCGGCTTGCCCCCTCCACAATTCAAATTCCGTATACGGTATTCGGTTGGCTCTATGCTTTAGCACCATGTCCCCATCCAACCCACCCCCTGCATCTGACTTCCCTGCAACAGCGCAACCAGTGGGTCTGCTTAGTTTCAGATTACGGCATATTTTCGAGGCAGCACATACCATGTTCTCCAACTTCGAATGGAAACACGGCATATTTTTGATGCAGCACATACCATGTTCTCCAACTTCGAATTTCCCCATCTCCACCACCACTTTTGCTCGTTGTGACTCCGGCCATTTACCCAAGCACACAAGGTCACTGTGGCCAGCAACGGTTCTCCACTTTTAGTTAGTGTCAGAAGACTCACTCTTTGAACTAATCGGACATCATGCCCATTGTTCCCTACAAGCTCGGAAAGACGGTATGGGAACCAAAAGTTGGGGAAAATATTACTATTTTTACTATTAGTATTATTACACAGAACATACGAAGTGAATGGTTGAGGGACTCGTGGTGGGCTTTCATCTCACGAAAAGTAGCCGTGACGCCTGGAGTAGACGACCGGCTATCGCCTGGCAGCTACAGGCCTATAAGCCTCACTAACGTGTCGTGCAAAGTGACGGAGCGCACTCCGAAGCGGGCTATCCTAGGTCAACTTACTTCCAGCAACCTGATATCTCCAGCTCAATACGGAATTCTCCCAGACAGCTCTTGCGTGATAAACATTCTCGTGTTTATAGACAGCGTAACCCAACCCAAGGACGAAAGAATCATATCGGATGCCATATTTTTCGACTTCTCTAACGCATTTGATAGGGTCTCACACGTCTCGCTGCTCAACCAACTCGAGTCCTAGGGGATTCAAGGGAAAATCCTTCCCTGGCTCAAGGCGTTTCTATCAGACAGATCATTCCCCTTTCCATTGCCTGTCTCCATTGGAGTTCCTCAAGGCTCCGTCCTGGGTCCAGTGCTGTTTCTTGTCTACGTCAACGTAGACAACGTGGATGTTCTTGCAAATTCATGTCTACTTTTTGCGGACGACTTGAAATCCTTGAGTTCAAATGCCAGTGCCCTGCAAATGGATGTAGACGCTGCAAAGCAGTTGTCGGTGGACTGGCACCTACCTCTGGATGATAAAAAGTACGCCCATATGTCATTTGGAGGAGACTCAGCGAATGCCTTTGTTACGCATGATGAGAAAGGATTAGATAACATCATGAAGATAGATGCTAAAAAGGATTTGTGCATCTGGGTCTCCTCGAACTTTTCCTTCTCACGGCACCATGAGAAATCGACCCGAAAGGCATTCACCACTTTACGGATGATCCGACGCACCTTCTCCCGTATTACTCGCATGGACTTCCATGGGGCCTACGTCAGACCGCTCCTGGAATACGCCAACCAAGTTGTCTACCCAGGATGTACGAAAGACGTCACCCTCATTGAGCGTGTCCAGCGAGCCACTACGAGATTGGTCGCCGGCCTCACATCTGTGGACTACGACACGCGTCTCGCGATGCTTGATCTCTTTCCCCTGGATTACCGTAGCCTCCGAGGGGACCCAATTTTTAATTATGCACTTTTTGAACAATGCTTATCAAAAACAGGTTTTTCACCGTTGACCCAACAAAGACACGGCGGGGACATAATAAGAATATTTTCAACCACAGAGCTTACACATTCATTGGACAAAATTTCTCTCATTTCGGGGAGTAGCTGCGTGGAATGACCCTTCCCCGACGGTTGTCCACGCTTCTTCTAGAACTAGGTTTAGAGCACTATTAGACATTTATTTATGCGAATCCTCGCGTTGGCAAGCATACTGCCCCGCGCTGAGAACATGAAGTGCAGTGCTACACCCTTTTTCACTTGTGCTTTTCAGGTGAACGTCAGCCACTGACCGACAAGAAAAAAACCGTTCCGGGAAACATGGGCAAAAACCTCGATCCTGTGTATCAATCCGTTAATCCGTGATCGGTTTTCCAAGGTCCGCAACGGTGACTGGCCTTCTAGTTCCAACTTAATAATGACGGGGATTGTTGAAACCAACGGTGGTGGACAGCATGCAATGCACAGCCAAGTGCGGCCTCTGGGATAGCCAACTCGGACAGACCCGGAACTTGTCGCTTGAGTAGTCATAAACTTAAACACGAAGGTTCGACCCAAGTCATTTTGAACGCATTTATCAAATGGGCGACGATCAGAACCTCGGATCACTTGCCTAGACATTCATACAGGTGTTTTAGACGAACCTACACGTGTAATGAGAACGAATTCCTGGGGCAATGATGAATAACTTAAAAGGAACACGTAACCAAAGCGTGCATAGAGCATAAGCAGTGCAACAGAACTCACTCTCCCAGCCATATGATAAGTAAGCTGAACGCAGAGCTTCTAAAATACGCGTTTTACATTCCAAAGGGGCCCAGAAATGAAGGGTATTGTAGTTTTTTCTATTGCTACAAGACAAAAAATTAGCTTTAACCCCCTGAAAGAATCGACCCCCTCAGCTTAATAGTACTCGACATGTGCAGGTGTGGCAGTCTGGCTGCCCAATAAGTTAGTTTACCAGGAGTTTGTGGCAAGATAATTACGCTAGGTTGGGTATACAAAAATAAAGAGATCAGATGGAACAGACTAATTAAAAATTGTTCTCTTTAAAATAGTTCGTCGTTGGCCCAGGTCAGCGAATAAACAATAATCCAATTACGTTGGTCCAGAGGTCTTCTTTTGAACAGGTCCCACATATAATATATTCCGAAGATGTCTGAAATATTTTGGTACAAGAGTTAGTACATGAGGCTCGCGAATGACCGCTGCAAGCGCGAGCGAAATCAGAAGAGAGAGTCGAAGCACGTGACCACGCTTGTATTATGCGAAATTGTACAAGTGCGCATTTTTGTAGTTTTTCGTAGTTAAAGAAAAAACGATCATGCAATTGATGAAATACGTAGTGTTATCATGGAAGTAAAATAAAGGTACAAAACGCCACACAGGACTTTCTGCACCATTTCTGCACATTTACTGCACCTGAGCGTGAAAGCATGCTTACTGAGTCCTGGAGTCATGCGTAATTCTTATCAGCTACTGTTCACAGCTGGTGGCTACCCACTACTGACTTCTCGGTTCGTGGACGGACTACAGCGGCTGTGGCGGCCATAACAACTCTAACGACTTACAGGTGCTGCTACTCTTGCCGCTGTTTTTTGTGATGGAAATGGTTCTACATACGGTTAACCATTATCCCCACTTGTCCAGCACCGTAAGCGTTTTTAGTCCAAGCACGATACCTTACCATCCGTGTCCCCGTGCTTCCGGCCTCCTGTGTGTGCCTATCGTCCACTTTTTTGACCTCAAGAAAGCGCGCTAATCGGTCCCCAACGCTGCGTTTCTGTTCAGGGTAATCAGGGGCGGAGCTGCTAAAAGGGATGGATGGTAAGTAGTAATGTGGTCACCAACGTGCCGGTATGCACTTCGGAATTCATTTTAATGTAGGCAAGCGATACTTCGGTCTACGAAGTTAACAGGCGAAAGTCGGGTGCCAGTTGATTAAAATTGGCTGCCTTTTGAAATCGATTTCAAAAACGGATCCTTGAATGAGAAGATGTCAAGCGGCAATCATTGTGTTTGCGATCATGACGCATTCGCGGTTTGAGAATCACCCAATGTGGTTTTGCAGTTTGAATACTTTTGAGCTTGGTGGACGAGTCGAAATCTTGTGTGCACTGATGCTAATACCACAAACTCACGAAAAATTTCTGGTTGTTTCTTCGCTTACAAACTGCACACGTGCAATAAGTACCTCATTTTCGTACATATACATCATCGCTGTGTGGCGCTTTTGGTATCACTTATTTGTATCGACAATGCTCGTACACATGCATGTAGATACCCTGTAAGCCACCGGGGTTTATATTTTAAGTGGCACTTTAAAGCCGGAATGCAACTGGATCAAACACTTAAAAACGCTGTTGCAGTGCACATAAACCAAAGGAAGGTTGCATTTGTTATTAAAATCCTACGGGCCTTTCGTGAACTTCTCAGTCACAAAAATGAAAAATCGGAAAGTTGTAATAGTGATATTCTCAACTTAACCAAGCGTGTGATAGTTCCTGTGAAGACCAGTACGTCTGTAAATGGTTGGTAAATGAAAACCCGATATCCGTCTGTTTGCATTGTCGACACCGGGTAACAAATCGTCTTTCAGCTATTCACCGCGCCATGTGACCGGTGGGTTGGCTGTTTGTGCCTAAATAAACAAGGTTTGTGAATGTGGATTGGGGTACTTTTCCTCACTACCATGCACCCCTTGTCGGTAACTCGTAGGTAACTTGCATGTCACTCGTCTCGCAAAAAGACTAACGCAGGGAGTGCTGAGGACAAATGCGACGTCTCTTGTTCGACTGTGCCGTTCGGCTCAGATTTCCGGAGACCCGAAACCCACCTGCAGCTCTTCCACAGACGTTACGCTGATCAGTGATATTGTAAAGAGACGGCGCTTGATCTCCTCGAAGCAAGAATATTAACCGGATGTCGGTATTTTTCATCCCTCACATCTTGAACCAAAGATAGACCGCTGCAGACAATGTCGCAATTGGAACAACGGATTAATTATATTGAGCTGTATATCTCAACGTTGAATAACACTGGTCGAGCCGACGCGGGATTTTCGTGACTTAAGACAGGGATACGAGGCTTTTCGGGTGAGAAATTCCGACCAATGAATACTATCTAGTGGGAGGTCTCAGCACTGTTCGACAATGGGGAAGTTGATTCCCTCAGACTGTCGGCTTTTGCCTGTGATAGACAGTCTGATGTGAGTGCCAGACAGGGCGGTGAGGAAGTGTTTCTCAGATTTTTACAGAACCGATCAATTAAAAGACGACTCATGCATTGTTCGCGACCCATAAGACAATTGAATTTGTTAAAGTAACAAGTGTCCGCTTCCGTAGACATCATCATCATCATCATCTTAGTGCTAACACAATCATTCCGAGGTGCCTACACCTCCAGACATTCACTCAGGCAATCTGGACAGAAACTGACAACAAGAATGCCACTCCACTGA